GCTCGGTGGAGTGACCCGATTTAGCCAACTTCTTTGCATATGCTACCGCTGACGCCCATTCTCGAGCGCTACGCAGACGGTCTAATTCAGATTCTGGAGAGGATCTCTTGCCTCTTCTCCGCAGAGACATCTCTTATTTCTTGTGTGTCGGAATGTGATGATGAAAGATGGGAGTTTACAGCGAGTCGGGCGGAAACAGCCGAGGCCATTTTCATGTCTGACGAAGGAGGGGACCTACAGCCATCCAATAAGAATGAGAAAGAATTCTCCCTACCCAGAACTAGATTGTTGGAGGTAATCAAATCGGCCATGCCTGAGGGATTCCATCCACCAGCAGCCAAAGATTACACGATGCAATTGATGAATGACGCGTGTATCGGTGTGTCATCTAATGAAGCGTCTTCTGATCTGTGATATAGAGTTCATGCAATTGGTGGCATCACAAGCGATGGTAGAACATTCAAAAGGAAATCCCAAGACGGAAAAAGTATCGATCACACCGAAACACGTCCTCAACGCATTACGTGTGAGTTGCTCACGACACATCTCCCTCATCATTTACCATCGTCACTGATCACATTGCAGAATCTGGATTACAAAGAATACGCCGAGACAGCCAAGAGAGAATTGAACCTAGACGAAGGGCGAACCACCTCCCGACAACCCACAAAGAGATTGAAAAAGACCAAAGCAGACATGGAGAGAGAAGGAGAAGCATTGAGAGCAGAGCAAGAAGCCTTGAGAGTTGAGCAGGAGAAATTATTCGCACAGGCGAGAGAGAAGATGAACCAGAAGAACGAGAAATGAAAGAGGAATCCTACTTCGCTTGGATTTATTTTCCACCATCCAACGGTTATACGGTCTGGAGAAATTCGCCTCACCGAAGAGCAGGCTATTAGTAGGCAGCTCCACCCTTTGTCTTCTTGTCTCCTCCAAGCTCTGATGATGGGTCAGTGTGTGTGATGCGATGGTGAGAAGGATGGATTACGATGATGAGATGAACGCACCAAAGTGCTTGCAGCGCTTGATGGGTTGCTGGTGCTTCTTGTTGCACTCAGTGCACTCGAGTCTCAGGACGATCTTCTTGGTGGTCTTGGCCTAAACGAAAACAAAATGAGACGCAGAAATACTTTGTTTCTTATTTTTCTATTGCATCGAGGACATAATGTCCACCGATGTGTGAAGAAAAAGATAATGGTATAGACTTACCTTCTTGTGGAAGACAGGCTTGGTCTGACCTCCAAATCCTCTCTGCTTACGATCGTAACGTCTCTTACCCTGAGCGAACACGGAGGGCTTGCCGACCTTGTATTGAGACACCTTGTGGACGGTGTGCTTCTTGCACTTGCCAGAGCAAAGGGTCTTTCTTGTCTTGGGAATGTTGACCTACGCAATCATTCACAATCTGATTCATCACCAATGGAACATGAACATCATCTACGATAGACACGCACGGAACACGATAGATTCTATGGATGACAATGGATGTTCGATGGATGCAACGAGAGACTCACCATGTTGGATAGGTGGTTGAAGCTGAAGTCACAAAACAGAAACCGAGGACAGCTGAATGATCCTCCCTCCCTCCCTTCGGCACAATTATTCGGTCCGAAAATTTTACAGAATTCTCAGAGCACATCATGCCCTGTGTATAGTGAGTACAGGTAGCTCTTTAATCCACCATTCTAATATATAAGAACGTGGGTCTTGACCATGTATGCGTGATAATAAAGTCATAATCTTATTGGCGAGTCGTTAATCTTTACATCGATGATCTTTCAATCGAAAGATCCTTGACCGATCTGAACACTATGTTACACGTTTAGTTGTCGTCACGAGATAAGAATATACAGACTGTAAATTGATTTGCGTATGCATCTCTCTCTCTTTCGATTCGAAAGAAAGATCAGTTCCCTGTAAACCTCAATCAGTGTACGTTCGCAATTTGGGTGGCTTTTCAGAACATTTAGTGGGTCACAAGTACGCCGAATGATGGAACTGATCTGCTGATAACCTCTTTCTGTTTCACAGCATCGGATTTATTACCACAACCACATTACTGAATGTTTGATCCAAACCACCAGCACAGATGCCCGAGATGGTTAAGGGGATGGCCTTAAGATCCATTAGCGTACGCTTCGTGGGTTCGAGTCCCACTCTGTGCAATCGTTTTTATTTAAGCAAGGTCATTGATGGCGATATTGACAGTTTTTCTCCAATGATCACGACCGTGAGGTGATCTCGTCATGATAGTGTTCACATCGCGAGATGATCGCATTTTGATCGTGATCAGATTGTGAGACGATGACACATGATCGTGAGTCACATCATCATATTCTGAGCCATTAGAACGTACGAATGAGTTCCTTAGGTTCAATGGCTTGCGACTCGTGGGCTGAAGTCCCACTCTGTTCAATCTTTTTTCCCGCATGGTCCAAGATTAACCTTCACTGTTTGTGAACTGTTCACCAAAGCCATTGAGATGTAAAGTATTCACCTTAAGATCCAATGGCAAACGTCTCGTGGTTTCCCTTTTCTTTTTTTCATCATGAAACATTTCTATACGTTGTTCATGAGGTCACTTGAAATGCTTTGCTAAAGACGTGTATCAAACCTTTCTATCTTTCTGCTTTATTGCTTTACATTGAGCAACGCCCCGACGGTGTGGAAAGACGTCCTGTCCCTCTCGATCTTCTCGTTGATCGCTTTGTCATACACTGCAGCCTCCACCTCGGTCATCTTTGGGTCAAGCTTCTTCCTCATGGCTTCTTCCATCAATTCTTTCAAGTCCATCATCTGTTTGATTTCTTTCAAGTGGGACATGACCGTTTCACACGCTTCTTTCAAGGAGGTATACCTCCTTGGGTGATTCCTTCTGGTACTCTTCAAACAGTCCACGGGAGGTGGAGCTTCAAAGAGATCGATGCATTCTGTCGTTAATCTCAACAGGATCATCTATCATCCATGATGAGATCTAGATGTGGAGCTACGTACGTCACCCTTGGTTGAAATATCTTCTTCGTCCTCTTCATGTTCGGGGTCTCCTTTTCTGTGTACATCCTGTCTATCTTCAGAATCCACGTCTCTGTGTCCAGATATTTCACACCTCTACTTCTTCGTGATCTTCCTCTCCACCGTCGTACTATATATCGTGAATAACGGTTTATTTGAAAATGAATCTTCGTTACGAGGCGCTAACCATTGAAACATGCTGATGTTCACTCTCAAAATCCAATCACTTTCACCCCGTGTTTCGGTCTCGTTGTTTGCCTTTCCGCACGGAGCATCACTTACGCACGAGACGCAAACGGTAGAACACAAACCAACACAACGACTTCGACACGAACGTATAAGGAGAACGTCATCAAACAACCATGGCTCTTGCACCTTCCTTCATGAAAGCAGTTATAACCACTGAAGATCACAACATCAAAGTTCAAGAGGTAACATGATGTTCACAAAAAGTTGAGCAATCTAAGCGTCAGTCAGATATCGGTACCTTCCATAGAAAGTGAGCGTCAGATTCTTGTGAAGGTGATGCATCTTCTTACGTCTCATAATCGTCAACGCCTTCTTTAGATTCACAGCGCTGGCATCAATCCAACCGATTGGAAACATGCGTGAGCCATTGTTAACGCAATCACACCAGCTGACGTCAACAGCAAGCACCTCTCTCCAGAGGGCACCATCTCCGGCTGCGATCTCGCCGGAGTCGTCGAAGATTCTGGACGTTCTAAAGAGGTCAAGGTGAGAGTGCATTATGTCCGTCTCCGTCTAACATGACGCAGGTCGGTGACAGACTCGCCGCCTTTGTGCACGGAGGAAACTACAAGAACTACGGTGCATTTGCAGAGTATGCTCTGGTCGAGCCCGACACCAGCATCAGATTACCTGAATACATGTCCTTCGATCAGGGAGCCACCTTGGGAATACCGTTAGGAACGGCCGCCTTCGCTCTCTATCACAAGTTGAAATTACCCGAGCCAGGAGTTGTCATCCCGTGAGTCTTTCACGACGATGACCATGATGTAGACGGTGTTGAGAAGATGAACTGATGAATTGAAGGAGGTCGTTTCCAGTGTTGATCTGGTCGGGTTCAAGTGCAGTTGGACAGTATGCCATCCAATTGGCCAAATTGTCCGGGTTATCCGTCGTCACCACGGCTTCTTTTCAACACCACGAACGATTGAGATCACTGGGTGCAGATTCAGTCTTCGACTATCACGACCCTCACGTGTCCGAAAAGGTTCGTCATCGTCAGTCCATGGAACGATCACGATCATCATCCAACTCTCGATCATCATGGCGACTGACCACTGAATCAGATCAAAGAAGCCACGCACAACGATCTGGCCTACGCTCTAGATTGTGTCTCCAGCGAGGAATCTTTGAAGAGCGTGACAGATGCCTTCGGTGAGAAGGGTGGAAAGGTGGCCGTGCTGCTCTCTCCAGAGGGTAAAGACATTCGAAAGGATGCGGAGGTGATCGTGATGACTCATCTCACACCACTCAATCGATCCAGGTTGTCCCCGTCCTAGTGTACACTTGTTTGGGCAAAGAATTCACGTTCGCTGGAAAGAAATATCCCGCCTCCGCTGATGATCGTCAGTTTTACGAGAGGTGTGGTTTTTAAATGGAAGACGGAGTTTGAAACGAATGGAGGTGGGTGAAGATGGCAAACGGGCTATTGGAAGAGAAGAAGATCGTGACACTCCCCACCGAGGATAGAGGAGGATTAGAAGGAGTCGCCTCTGCATTCAAAGACATGGAAGAAGGAAAGAACAAGGGCGTGAAATACGTCATTCATCCTTGAGAGAGACCCTTTCGTTCGGGATAATGTTTTATCGATTCACAATAGACGATGAGGTCTTTTCATTTCTTCATGTCCACGATGATGGGTTGGTTCATGCCTAATCCGTTGCTGATGGCGGCGTTGACGTAGAGGATCGAATCGATACACGTGGCGCCTCTACCCCCGTGAATGTGACCGAACACGTGCAGTCTGGGCCTGATCCTCTTTGCAATCTCTTCGGATAGTATCGCGCAACCTGTGAATCTGTTCAGATGATCGTGCGGTTCCTGTGAGATAGTATGATATATGTCGCCCGAATATCTGTAGGGATGATGCAAGATGCGTGATGAGTGAACATTTGATGGATAAGAAGGTGGCATGTGAAGTTGTGAGGAGGCAAGGGCGGGATGATGTGATGGGACCATTGATCACCTGTTGGGCGAATACCGCCAAACTTTGTGACATTATCTAAGATACCATAGGGTGGTCCATGGGTCAACAAGATGTCCGTCTCACTCGGTATACTCATGATCAGCCCTGATCCTCGTAAGTGGCTGCAAGAGCGTGGGACGCTCACTCTTCTCCTTCTCTCCTCCCTCCGCAACGCCCATCGGTGCCCAATAAGGAGAGCCAAATATATTCCAAGAGTCTCCCCCTGGTACATCGATCGTGATGCGAGAATGCTCTAACAGATGAATGCGCCCCTCTTTGGCCCAGTCAGTCTCGAAGAAGTCGCTGACCATTCTCTCGCGATTCAAATCGTGATTTCCTCGCACAATCAGCTGCACTCACTCAGGGGAGGCATGAATCACACTGGCTCACCTTGTGTTCGTGGCGTAAACTTGCCAACCATTTGAGAGACGACTCCATCTTTCTCGTGAAGGTAGAGAAATCCCCCGAATGCAATAGAACATCTGCGGCGGGCAAAATGGGTTCTCTTCCGTGTGTATCAGATACAAGTACGAAACGTGTGTAACCTTCTGGCTGAGGTGGAGGATTATTTCTGTCATATTCGGTGTGGAACTGAGTTAGCATGTTTGCTGTGATTTGAAGGCGGCAGGTGAAATCAATCCGGTTCAGTGAAGTGTTCCAGCCCGATTTAAGCAGCTGATCTCACAGTCTCACTCGACTACCGATAGAGGTATTGAAGAACATGCGATTGTGTTAACTGAGGCTATCTATTCAATTCTCGTTGTTCGTCTGTGCCTCTTGGATAATAATCCATGTGATCCGCTTGAGCGGCGAGCAGTATCTCTAAAGTACCGTTCGATTATGTGATGCAAATCATGATGACCAAGAGGGCAGCCCCAATTTTCCAGTGAGTGAGGATGTCTGCGGATAATTGGATGGCGACTTCTGCCTTGACCCTTTTAGCTGGTTCCGAAATCGTTGCATTTTCTCCTTCCGTCCACGTCGCGACCAAAGAAGTCTCGTTCTGAGGTTGAGATTGTGCAGTGATGTAGTAAGTCTTGGTGACCGTTGGCGCTGACTCGAGGGAGGCCAGAGTCAAGAGGAAGCATGCCGACAGAGCGAGGAGTAATAGTACTGTTGCTGATTGTGCCATGGCTGTTGGTACTCTCTGTCTATCGAGGAAGATGTGGCCGTTAGAAGCGGGCTGGCCTGAAAATAATGATTTCTTAGCTTTCACGCGCGATTCTCAACGCGAGGCGCGACAGATCCGGTTGCGTAGATACGAAAAACGGACCTTTGCTCGATCCCCGAAAGAACTCCTTTTCCGAGGATTTTGATCCTTTCTATTCAGCGTGTGTGTCTTCTCGGATCCACCTGCCACGAGCTCAGAGTCTCTTCAGAGTTTGTTTCAGTGTTGGGGGGAATCATTGAAGGGCAGTATAGTCCGTTCTTTGTTCACGCCACCACAACATTTTGATCCTCCTGGCCACACGTAACGGCTCCAGTCTGGCGATAATGATGACAGCTGACAGAAGGATCCCCGCTATCGCATGCCATCTAACCCAGCTCAAAAGGGGGACGGTCAGGGCACCGAAGACCGCCGTTACGTGAAACATGAGGAGGTTGAGGTAGCCAGTAGTCCAATGCACTGGAAATAAGAGTGCACCTGGTGTGATCAGATTTAAGACATTGAGGTGTGCACCTCTCGGTGGGCCAAGGTGATATCGAAAGTTGTAAGCACCAAAGGCAGAGAGAAGGGAGAGAATGAATGTGGCCAGTCCCAATCTGGAGTGGGCTGATGCAAAGTGATCGGTGGAGACTTCATACTTGTGGGCGACAACCATCACGAAACCGAAGATGAGGGAGATCATGGCGGCTGAATTAAGAAAGACGTGAATTTCTTTGGGCCATCCCGTTCGTAATACGGGGTGTCCATGCTGCAAACTGAATCTGCGTCTCAAT